GATGCAAATGGATTTCCAGTTTTCCCAGCACCATTTGTTGAAGATGCTATCCTTCCTCCATTGCATGCTTTTAGCCCCTTTATCAAATATAAGATAGTTGTAGTTTTGTGGATTGGTTACTGTGTCCTCTATTCTGTACCATGTTTTAAAGATCTTGATCTGCCTGATACATAGCATTGGTATTTATAATGACTTGTGGCTTGTTGTGCCTTATAATTGCAAGTTAGTTTCAAAATAGAGTAGGAATTGAGAACTCGGAAAGCTCTTCTCAAGATTTATTGAGATAAGACGTTTCATAATTGGTTTAAGTACTGCTTAGGTTTTATCCTGGCTTTAGGCCATCATATTTTTAATTGTACTAAGAATCTTATCTCCTTGAGTTGTTCAGTAAGTTAATGAAGGATCATGGATGGTCCCAGAGTGGAGGTTACCCTTTACAAAACTAAAAAGTAACTTACTAATATTATTGAATGGTAAAAATGTTTTATAGAATTTAAGCTTCTATATTTTTAAGGATCTAGGTTACAGATCTACATGTAGGGCTAATCGTACACCCCTTCACATTTATTATCTGAGTAGGTTGTCTTGCACCTCTCTTTTACAGGAAACATTGAATACTATATCTCATGTTACCTATGGAGTTAAGAGAGTGATTTTTGAGCTCCCAAAGATTATTGTTTTTTAATATATATTTGCATGCCCTAGCTTGTTGAGTTGATTTAAAAAAATTAGTTATACTTGGACACAATATCTTTATTTTGTTTGTTTATTTTTATGTGGTGCTGAGGATTGAACCTAGTGCCTCATGTGAGGCAAGCGCTGTGCCACTGAGCCACAACCCCAGCCCACTGAGTTGCTTTTTTATGTTATTTTGAATTATTAGAAGCTTAGCAGTATATTTCATGTCTTTACATGGCTGGCAGCCCCTAGGTAAAGGGTAAATTTTAACCCAGGTTTATGTAGACTTTTGGTTAGATCTTGCAGTTTGTCTTTTTTAGATGAATTGGATGAATTAATTTAATTGAAACTGAATTAGATGAATTGGATTTAGCTGCAAACCTGTTGGTACTTTCAGTTTCATACAGGGAGCGTGTATGCCTTGGTTGTGAGTCACCATGTAAGGCAAACCTTCACAGTGCAGTCTGAAGGAACAAAGCTGCTGTGACTACACTCTTGTAGCTTGGAGGAGTGGTGCCTGGTGTTGTCAGAAATATGAATATTTAAGTGATACTCATTATTAAAATGATTTAATTTTTTTGAGTGAACGTTGAGGGCCAAATAAAGATAAGATCAGTGTCCAAGTGAGGAACATAGACCTGAGTTTGTACCTCTTCTTTATTCACAAAGTTCCTCTGCTAAGTAAAACCCAGAGGATGCTCTGCAAGTTGTATTTAGCCCAATTATTATACTGGCCTAAATTCTGAGAGCCTAGAAAATGAGGCAAAATTGATATTAGCGCCCTCTCCTGGATCTCAGGGGAAATTGCTGAGAATATAAAGAAATTGTTTCTACTGGAGTATCCACTGACTCTTCCTTAAATCTGCAGTGCCATTATCATCTCTGGAGGACCTAATTCTGTGTATGCAGAAGATGCTCCCTGGTTTGACCCAGCAATATTCACCATTGGCAAGCCTGTTCTTGGGATTTGCTATGGCATGCAGGTACATCTATAAATTTGCTATGTTGTCCACTTATATTTTATTCTTTTCATGATTTATATTTCTATTTAGTTGGGTTGCATATTACTGCTGTGTATGAATTGCTATACTAGTGTGATAGAATGGACCTTATAGGGAATCTACAGAAAAGTAACTACCTTTTTTGTGTGTGAATATATTGACATTTACTTTTCTTTTGTAACAAATAACATAATAAGGGGCTGGGGATGTGGCTCAAGCGGTAGCACGCTCGCCTAGTGTGCGTGCGGCCCGGGTTCGATCCTCAGCACCACATACAAACGAAGATGTTGTGTCCGCCGAGAACTAAGAAAAAATAAATAAATGTTAAAATTCTCTCTCTCTCTGTCCCCCCCCCCTCACTCTCTCTTAAAAAAAAAAACAAATAGCATAATAATGTGAATATGGTAAAATCTTACAGTTAGCTGTGTATGATGATGGCAGGTGCCTATTGCAGTGACTTGGGAGGCTGACACATGATAGTTGTGGTTTCAAAGGCAGCGTCAGAAATTCACTGAGGCCCTAAGCAAATTAGGTAGGACATATCTCAAACTTCTTTTAAAAAAGGACTGGGGATGTCAGTGTTTAAGCACTCCTGAGTTCAATCCTCTGTACAAAAATTAAAATTAAAAATCTATAAAATCTTCAAAAACACAGGTTAAAAATAATCAGGACAAGTCTTCCTTTGAAATAATGGACTGTAAGAATTAGGTTTCCTCCAATTTTCAAAAGTGAAGATACTTAATAGTCTTTGATTTTTTTTTTTATATTCATTCAGAGATGAACTGTCTGCAGTATACAATGAAATTTGTGAGCATTTCAGACACATTGTCTAGTGATATCTAATGAATTTTAAGCAAAAGTTAAAGGCAGTTAACCAATTTCTATATTTAAATGCCTTCTTTCTCTTAATAATTCTCATATACATCAAGATGTGAGGTCTTGACAAGGACTTTTTTAAATTAAGTTTCAAGGTTTTGTCTTTGTGGTAAATATTTTGCTGTTGTCTAAGGCATATATTTTGGACAAATGCCTTACTACATTTACTTACATGTACAAGGTTTTGGAGGTTGAAGAAAGTTTGAAATTAAGACCGCATAGGAAGAATTAATATTATCGAAATGGCCATGCTACCAAAAGCGTTATACAGATTTAATAAAATTCCAATTAAAATCCCAATGACATTCTTCATAGAAACAGAAAAAGCAATCATGAAATTCATTTGGAAAAATAAGAGACCCAGGATAGCCAGAGCAATCCTCAGCAAGAAAAGTGAAGCAGGAGGCATCACAATACCGGACCTTAAACTATACTACAGAGCTATAGTAACAAAAACAGCATGGTATTGGCACCAAAATAGACTTGTAGACCAATGGTACAAAATTGAAGACAAAGAGACAAACCCACGTAAATAGTTATACTAGACAAAGGCATTGAAAACATACATTGGAGAAATTCAACAAATGGTGATGGGAAAACTAAATTAAATTAAACTAAATTAAATTAAATTAAACTAAATGCAACAAAACTAAATTAAACCCTTATCTCTCACCATGCACAAAACTCAACTCAGAGTATACCAAGGACCTAGGCATTAGACTAGAGACCCTGCTCCTAATAGAAGAAAAAAGTAGGCCCAAATCTTCATCATGTTGGTTTGGGCCTGACTTCCTTTATCAGACTCCTTAAGAAATAAAATCAAGAATTATTAAATGGGATGGATTCAAACTAAAAAGCTTCTTCTCAGTAAAGGAAACAATAACGTGGAATTTGGATATGAATTCTCTGGTGTTTAGTAATGTTACAGCAGTGGCGTAAAGCTTTGTGACATTTTTTCCGCTTGTATCATCTTTCTCCAGTATGAATTCTCAGGTGTTGAGTAAGGTGTAAAAAGCTGTTGGAGACTTTGTCACATTTTTTACATTGGTATAATTTCTCTCTGCTATGATTCCTCTCATGTGGAATAGGGTTGAACCATCCTTAAATGTGTTGGCATGATGTTCTCATTTGTAGAGCTTGTTTTCCCTACAAATTCTCTGATTCATAAGTCATGATCTTTGAAGTTTTGCAACATTTTTCACATACCAGTCCTTGTAACAGGCATTTCATTTTTTAAAATGAGAGTTCTGTGCCACATTTTTGCCAACATTTGGTGATGTAAAGTGTTCTAGATTTGGGCCTTTATATAGCTTGCTTTAAGTTTATACAGTATATGTTTACCAGATAAGTTCAATGTCATTGGTTAGGATGATAGAAAAATAATAATGAGTCAGTAACATGTGAAATTCTCACTTAACAGAGATGATATTGATCAAGATTTATTTACAAAGAGGATAGGAATATAAATTGATAATTTTACAAAAAGTTATTACTGGTGATTATAAGAAAAACGGTTATCTACTTAAGAAAACTTAACAATGTATCTTACTTCATTAGATTATCTGAAAATTGAGTTAGCTAGGAAACTAGTCTCTAAGTAATTTATTATTAATTGACATGTTACAGTTACATGTTTTGCCTTTTTCAAAAAGTCAGAAGCAAGATTTATTTTTTAGTATTTTTTAGTTTTAGTTGAACACAATACATTTTATTTATTTGTTTATTACTCGGTGAGCTGGGGATCGAACCCAGGGCCTCACACATGCTAGGTTCTACTGCTGAGCCACAACTCCAGTCCATATTTTTATTTTTGGTACCAGGGATTGATCCCAGGAGTGATTAACCACTAAGCCTTTTTTTATATTTTATTTAAAGACAGGGTCTCACTGAGTTGCTTAAGGCCTCGCTAAATTGCTGAGTCATCTTCTAGCCAATAAATATTTTATAGTAAATATTTAGTATCCTCTGCCTTGTTTTTGGTGGTAATATGGGAAAAATCAATCTAGGGGTGCCCAGCCCTTTTTTAAAAAAAGATTGCAACAGGGTCTTCCTAGGTTGCCTTGAGCTTGCCATCCTTGTGTCTCATTCCTGTGTGCCACTGTGTACCCGCTATTTTTTTTTTTTTTTCTAATTTAATGTTCTCTGAAAAGTCCATCTGTAGTCTTAGAAGAGTTCGCATCCTGATTAAGTTGAATATTGGAAATTGGCTGTTTTCTTTCTGTATGCCTTTGTCCCACTCAGCTTGTGATGTATTGATCTCGGGTCCTGAGTGGTCCACTTTAACTATGTAGTACAACTTGATAATTAAAGTGGGATGGCTGCTGGAATGTTGGGAGGGTTATAACATTATATAAGGGGGGCATTCATGAGGCTTTTTAAAAAAATCTGCTTGTTAGGAAATCTGTGTAGGTCATTGGATCCCTTAATGTAAGAGACAGTGGCTTAGTACTTCCCCGTTACATCAGTTTTCTGTATAATTACAAGACTAGATTTTTCTGTCATGGTGAGAGAAGCCAGGCCTGCTGATGTTAAATGTGTAAAAAAAAATGTTGTCTTGGGCTGGGGATGTGGCTCAAGCGGTAGTGCGCTCGCCTGGCATGAGTGCGGCCCGGGTTCGATCCTCAGCGCCACATACCAACAAAGATGTTGTGTCCGCCGAGAACTAAAAAATAAATATTAAAAAAAAAATTCTCTCTCTCTCTTTCTTTCTCTCTCTTAAAAAAAATGTTGTCTTTTATGATTATCTGAACTTCCATAGTATGATAATGGAATTAGGCTTTTGGGCAGAAATTTACCCATTCTGTCTCTCTCTTCCCCCTCCCTCCCCACCCCCCTCTTTCTCTCTCTTTTTCTCTTTGGTACTGGCGATTGAACTTAGGGCCACTGGATCACTGAGCTACATCCCCAGCCCTATTTTGTATTTAAATATTTAGAGACAGAGTCTCACGAGTTGCTTAGCACCTTGGCATTGCTGCTGCCTCAGCCTCTTCAGCTGCTGGGATTACAGGGGTGTGCCACCATGCCTGGCTTTTATTTTGTTTATTTTTATGTGGTGCTAAGGTTCGACCCAGTGTCTCACACTTGCGAGGCAAGTGTTCCACCACTGAACTATAACCTCAGCCCCCATTCTCTTCCTGTATAGCCATATTCATGTTTATATCTCTAAATAATATGTTTAGTTTTGTTCATTGACCTTTATATACATGAAATCATACTGCCTGTATTTTCAGCTTCAGTTTTGAGGTTTATTCATTTTAATACATTTAATTATAATTTCATTTTCACTGAATTCATTTGAATATAACACAAATTATTTCTACATCTCAACATACAGGACAGAGTTGTGTTCCTGGTCATCTTCTAATTTTGCATTTTTTATAGTAGTATATAAAAATATCTTCTGTCTGTATCCCTGTCAACCCTTGCCATGACCAGAGCTTAGTTTTTTTTGTATTGCACTTTTAGGGAAGATATTGTAGTCCGGATGTTCTTTTCCTTATTTCTCCTTATTAGTGTATTTATTTGCCACTCATGCCGCCTCTTTACTGTAAAGGCTTATTTGTGACTTTTGCTCATTTCTCTGAACTGCTTTTTTTTTTTTTTTTTAATTTTTTGTAGTTATCTACACGGACAGCATGCCTTTATTTTGTTTATTTTTATGTCGTGCTGAGGATCAAACCCAGTGCTCTGCCACTGAGCTCCAGCTCCAGCCCTGAACTGCCTTTTTAATTGTCTTGTGGGAGTTCTTTGTAGATGCCGAATATGGAACTTTTGCTTGTTGTGTGAATTGTAATCCAGATTGCAATTTATTTTGTTTCCCCTCTCCTTTGATATTCCCACAAGGTTTTATGACATTATTATGTTTTAGTTTTTTGATACTGGGGATTTGAACCCAGGGAGCTTTATCAGTGAGCTACATCTGCAGTCATTTTTACTTTTTAAATTTTAAAAATTTATTTATTTTTCATTTTTTTATTTGTTCTTTTTAGGTGTACATGATACTGGAGTGTATTTTGATATATTATGCATACAAGGAGTATAACTTCCCGTCACTTTTATTTTTGAGGCATGGTCTTGCTCTGTTTCTCCGGCTGGCTTGGAACTTGGCATGCGCCATCAGCTGTGACGCACTGCTTTGTCCGGTTATTTTTGTTAGAATTTCCCTCCCTTTCTTTCCCCCATTCAGAGCCTTATTGTAGAACTTTGTCTTAAGACAGAGAAGAGGAGCTGACCTGAATTTTAGGTGGTAGACTTGGGGAACTATAGGGTTTCTTTGAGATGAAACCTTGGTGTTTTCAGGAATCCATACTTCAAGTCAGAATATTAAAACCTAAATATAACTACAAAGTACTTTTTAGTGTACATAGTTTCCCTGCTCCTCCAAATACACACTTTCCTGGTTGCTTGCCCTCTGTCCCTTCAGTCCTGAGTAACAGAACCAGAAAGAAGCACAAAAGCTTTCTGCCAAGTAGAACAGTTTTAAGTGCTGTTGCAAGCCCTGGGCTTTGTAGGAATTCCTGAGACTCCTGAGTTATGTAGAGTTCCAACAGTCTTAGTTATTTTGGTTTTTCAATTGTCTTCTAATTATAGTTGCAAATTATGGGAGGCAGAAGTACAATGAGGTTTATTGATGCTAAAGAAGAAAGTATTCATTCTCATTCAGCAAAGTTAAAGGACAGCTGTGGGCCATAAACTTTAATAGGCCCCTGGACTGTGAAGAGACCTGCAGACAATTTTACTAGTTTCAATGACTAGATTAGAGAATGGGGAAAATGAGAGGTGAAAGAAAAAATTAGATAAGTCAGCTTTTTGTCTCTTTGACCAAAAGACCTGACAAGAACAACTTAGAGGAGGAAAAGTTTGACTCTTGGTTTCAGAGTTCAATCAATTCCATTGCTCTGGGTCTTAGGTGGGACAGCACATGATGGCAGAAGGGTGTGGTGGAGGAAGTAGCACCCAGGAAGCAGAGAGACTCTGTGTCTGCTCCCCAGAGACAAAATAGAAACCCCAAAGGCACCACCAGTGTTTCCTAAATTGCATGTTAACCAGTCTGCTGTCAGTTTTATGTCTGAGTTTTTAGTTTGAAAAATCCCAGGTTAGACAAAGTGTGTTCCTTTACTGCTGGATGTAATCTGAAGCTTTATTGTGGTCAGATTTAGTGTGAATCCCTAGGAGAGATTATAGAGGTGGCAGCATTTGCTCAGGGTTTTGAAAAATACTCCTCTCCGAGTTTTAGGAATGTTTCCTTAGCTCTCTGCCTGCTTCTTTGTGGGGGGCTGGTCAGCCTGTGTTTTGCCTTTCTCACCTTGGAGGGCAGGTATCTGTGGCTCCTGTCAGGCCACCATCTTAGGCTTCTGCTGTGCAGAAGGCAGACTGAGTTGAAGCGAGTCTGGCAGTGCAGATTTGAGGTTTGCACAATCTTACATGTGTTTAGTGTGGGTGGAGGGTTCGGGTTATATGGGAAAAAATAAAAAGAATGTCTACCATGGTGGCACACCCTGTAATCCCAGCAATTTGGGAGGCTGAGGCAGGCTGAGGATCTTGAATTCAAGCCTCAGCAATTTGGCAAGGCCCTAAGCAACTTAGTGAGATCCTGTCTCAAAATAAAAAAGGCTGGGGATGTGGCTCAGTAGTGAAGCACCCCTGGATTAAATCCTCAATACAAAAAAAAAAAAAAAATAAGGAAGGGTGGAATGAAGAAACCATTTGAATTAAGAAGTCTGTAGGTGTATGGGATTTGAACAGATGGCTGATTGAAAGGCTGGATTTTCTTGCTGACCGCATCTGCAGTACAGTTCCTGTAGCTTTAAGATGGCTCCTTTGGTGCCAAAGAATTAAAAGCTTGGAGGAATTTATACTTGTCTAAATTTGTGATTTCTGCTTTTCTTCTCAGCTCAAAGTAACTGTGTTTTTTTTTTTTTTTTTAAGACTCAGGGATTGAACTAAGGACACTCAACCACTGAGCCACATCCCTAGCCCTGTTTTGGGTTTTAGTTAGGGTCTCACTGAGTTGCTTAGCACCTCGCCATTGCTGAGGCTGGCTTTGAACTTGTGATCCTCCTGCCTCAGCCTCCCAAGCCGCTGGGATTACAGATGTGAGCCACCACGCCCAGTTTCAGTCACTTTTTAAATTAAAGTGATTTAAATACCAAAATTACTATTTTTAAAAGATGAATTAATTAAAGTATACTAAGTAGAAAGTCTTCCAGTGTTTAACAGAAATTAACCTCAGGTCAAATTTCTAATCCAATTTTGTTATAATCATGCTTTTTAATGACTATATAATTATATGTAAAATATAAAGTTATCTACATTTATCAAACTCCCTGTATTTTGGGGGTACAAATATAACAATAATCTGGAAAACAGAATATAAATGATTAAATCAGCATAACAATGAGTGTTTTTCTTTTCACATTAATATCAATTAATTTTCTCTTTGAATAGATGATGAATAAGGTATTTGGAGGTACGGTGCACAAAAAAAGTGTTAGAGAAGATGGAGTCTTCAACATCAGTGTGGACAATACATGCTCATTGTTCAGGTATTTTTAGAAGAATAACGGTTGTAGATTAACTAAAAAGTTGATATTATTGTTGTTCAAAATTGGAGACTGTGTAATTCATCCTCTGCAGCCCCTGTGCTTGCTGTGTGTGCCTCCCAGGTGCATGTCAAGGCAGCACAGGCTAGCCGGAAGCTAGTTAGGACTAAGAAGAATATTTAGGACGTGCCCTCAAGGCACCTGTGTGGTTTAGCACCTTGTCATGTGATGCCAGCATTTGTGGATCTTATGTGTTAGTGTGCCACATGTGGCAAGTGAGTCATGACTTAAACTGTCCTGGGTCTACTGTATGCAGGCACAAACCTCCTTCTGCMCCCCCCCCCCCCCCCCCCAGCTAATTTTTTTGGTACCTGGGATTGAACCCAGGGGTGTTTAGCCACTGAGCCAAATCCCCAGCCCTCTCTTACATTTTATTTATAGACAAGGCCTTGCTGAGTTGCTTAGTTCCTTGAGCTCATCATTCTCCTGCCTTAGCCTCCTGAGCTGCTGGGATTACAGGCATATGCCACCGCCCCAGGCATGCACTCCTTTGTTTCTTGATTCTTAACAAGCCATTCAATTTTCGGACTCTTTATTCCTCCTTCACCTTCTTTATGTGGAGGCAGAACTGTGGCCTGGGTACAGTCTTTTTAATTCAATGAATGCATTTGGTTTTGTTGCTAGGTGATAAGATTGCTGTAGTTCTAATCTATTTAAAACTTGATGAATGATGGCTGCTGGTGCAGCTTGTTGGTGAGGGGAGTGTGTGCTTGACATGCACAGGGTCTTGGGTTCAACCTGCCTTTCTCTCCCCGGCCCCACCCATCCAAAAGTGAACGAGCTGCTTACAAGTTTCCTCAAATCATTGATTGGCTTGAATTTTCATTGTTTTTTAAAAAGACCAGACACTTGTATTTTAGTCTCTCTTTTTCTTTTTGGATTTTCTACGTTTTGTGCCGGCACAAGAAGTTTTATACATAAATTAAGAGATCTTTTTTCCTGTCTTTCTGGTTCATGTGCTGTTCCCTACCATTATTTAATACCAAGTCTTCATTCAAATTTTCCTGTAATGTAAGCAGTATCTTTTCATATTGGTCTGTCTAACTCAGGGTCCAGAGAAAATCTACACATTATATGTGTATAATGTTATGTAAGTCTCTTTATCTATAGTAGCTCCTTCCACCTTAATTGTCCCTGATTCACTTGGCACTGGAGGTCCATATTGCTACAAGTTTATTACTGTTTGTAGGACTTTTCAATGAATGGAGTGACGCAGTATGTTTTCTTTTAGAAAGAGAAAATTATCAGTATATATAATTTCTAATTAAAATGACAGATTATAGTTTTTACCTAACTCTAATTTTTTTAATCTCCTTACTCTTAAGCTGAACATTTAGATTACTGATTACAATAGTTATGTTTTTTTTAAACTGACAATACACATATATTTGTATTTACATTCAGCTGTAGGATAGCAGTATCAGTGTTAGTACTGTCATTCTTGGTACGACTACCATGCTACTGAGTGAAGCATGAAGGTGTTTGAAATATTTCTCTTAAGTTAAACCCATTTGTGTTGTAATGTTGAAATTTTTGTTTCATAGACTCCAGAAATTATTTTGTGTGTGGTTAAACTACCACTTCACATATTCTGTTTTTATGGATTTCCTTTTTAGTTTTTTGTTAAGATTTGATATCCTTTATTTGCCTTATATGTAATAAATTTGAATTCCAACTGTGTTGCACTGTATATATATTTGCATCTATTTTCTTGATCCACGCATGTCATTTCTAAAGCAAAAGAGTCTGTTAATCACTTATAATTGAGATTTGTGATGTTTTACTTTTTTATGTTTAGGGGCCTTCAAAAGGAGGAAATTGTTCTGCTTACTCATGGAGATAGTGTTGACAAAGTAGCTGATGGATTTAAGGTTGTGGCACGTTCTGGAAACATTGTAGCAGGTAGAAATCTACATTTGTAGATCTCATCTACATATCTGCAGAGTATGCATATGTTTCTGTGTGTTGTCCTCTTTGATCTTATTTTTTAAAGATATTGCAGATGTGGCAGGATAAACTGTTAATTAGTAGGGAATTTAATATTGGAAGAACTATCCAGAAATCACATTAGCTTACTTTAAAACATTTTGACAAAGGTTGTCCTAGTAGAAGCTTTTCAAATATAGATCACTGTATTGCATAACTCAGGAAACATTGCCTCTCCTCTTTCCATGCTGTTTTCACAGTTGCTTGTTTTTAATGCCTTTTAAATGTAAGTCTTAGATTTTTACAAAATACCAAAGCACTCAAGACTTTTTTCTCAACCAGGATTGGCCAGCTATGACCTGTGGGTCAAATCTAGCGTGTATCCTAGATTTGGGGGTGTCCATATAAGGGTGGTTTTTATGTTATTAATGGGCTTTAATAAAACACAGGAACCCTATATGTCCCTCAAGTCTTTATACTTCAGTTCAGTGTTTTGTCCTTTCTAGAAACTATTTTCATGCTGGACTTTGTTTGAGGAAGAGGGATTTTGGCAGTTCAGAGTTTGGACTTATTTACTTAAAAATTGTTATATAAATAATCACTGATATCCCTGGAAATCAGTAAAAGAAAAAAATGGGTTTATCAATAAAGCTCTTTTTTATTATATATGTGTAGTTTTAGTTGTAGACAGACATGGTACCTTTATTTTATTTATTTATGTGGTGCGGAGGACCCCACGTGCTAGGCAGGTGCTCTACACTAGGCCCCAGTCCCAGCCCAATGAAGCTCTTTTTGTTTGAGTTATCAAACCTAATTGATAAGTTGAGAAATGATTTGTCATGGATGAACTGAGTCGAGTAATCTGCCTGTACTTACTCAAAGAACTCATACTTTAGCAAAGGAGTGATCAGGAACAGTTGTCCTCTTCATGTAAAAGCTGTACAGTGGAGGGTGGGCTCAGTGTTTTTATTCATTTAACAGATTTGACTACCTATTTTGTGTCAGGCACATTCTAGGTGTCAAGGATCAGGAATGAACAAAATGGGCAGAAACCTGGGGAGTGGGGAGGGTAGACAACACAGTGCAGAATAGGTGAGCTGTTAGATAGTATGAACATCGAAAACAGGTGGAGGGGTGTTGCAGAAGGTGATTAGGAATGGTACTGGTTTTTTTAATGTGGGTGGGGGGATTGAACACAGGGACACTCAACCACTGAGCCACATCCCCAGCCCTATTTTTTGTATTTTATTTAGAGACAGGGTCTCATTGAGTTGCTTAGTGCCTCACTTTTGCTGAAGCACTAAGAAATTGAGATCCTCCTGCCTCAGCCTCCTAAGAAGCTGGGATTCCAAGCATGTGCCACCACCCCTGACTTGCACATGACTGTTTTATCTAGGATGTTCAGAGAAGGTATTCCTATAAGACATAATGGACCTGAAGAAGATGAAGTGACCACTCTTGATATCTGATGAAGGAAGAAATAGTAGTAGAGAGGCCCTGGGATGGGACCACATTTAATACAACATAGAGCAGCCAGGTGAGGTTGTACACACCTGTAATCCTAGCAACTCAGGAGGCTGAGGTAGGAGGATCACAAGTTCAAAGCCAGCTTCAGCAAAAGCGAGGTGCCAAGCAACTCAGTGAGACCCTGTCTCTAAATAAAATACAAAATAGGGCTGGGGATGAGGCTCAGTGGTCAAGTGATCCTGAGTTCAATCTCTGGTACCCCCCGACTCCCCCTGCAAGGAGGGAAAAAAAAAAGGAAGTCAACATAGAGCATAGTAATGTGGAAGAAGTGGTACAAGGTAGAGACTAGGTAATTGTGGTCCACAGCACAGGTCTTTTGACCCATTGTAGTCTTCCACTCTTTTTAGTTAGGTGAGGCTTTGAACAAAGGAAAGACTTCATCTAATTTCAAGGTGACAGTACAATGAGGGGAAGAGTGGGGGAAGGACTGACACTGGAATGGCATTCAAGAGAAACACTTAAAATGTTCTGAAATGCTAATTGTGAGATTCCATTTATATAAGAAATTGGCCATTGCACATTATATGTGAAAGCCATATGGGACTAAGAACCAAAATTAAGTTATTGCATTAACTGCATGACAATTAAAGTATTGATGGAGGGGCTGGGATTGTGGCTCAGTGGTAGAGTGCTCACCTAGTGTGTGTGAGGCCCTGGATTCGATCCTCAGCACCTCATAAAAATACATGGTTGAAAGAAAAGTATTGTATCCAACTACAACTAAAAAAAATATTAAAAAAATAAAGTATTGGTGGAGAAGTGACAGTACTGTGAAACAATCTTGAAGACTCATTGCAGTGTACTATAGCTTATTGTTATATTAAAGAAAAAAAACCTTAAAGATTGTGGCATTGTTATTTTGTTTTGTGTTTTGTCTTTCCATGTAACTATAAAAGTCCAGTAAAGTACATTAGTTTAAACATTTTTAGAGAGATTTTGAGGATGAATTATGGGTATCGGTTGAGTCTTTGCAACCTGAAAAAAAATTTGTGATTATTTTTTCTATAAAGGTATAGCAAATGAGTCTAAAAAATTATACGGAGCACAGTTTCATCCTGAAGTTGGCCTTACAGAAAATGGGAAAGTAATATTGAAGAATTTCCTTTATGATATTGCTGGGTGCAGTGGGAACTTCACTGTGCAGAAYAGAGAACGTGAATGCATTCGGGAGATCAAAGAGCAAGTTGGCACATCAAAAGTCTTGGTAAGCAATTATCATCTGACAGTGCTACATGGTTATGTGGGTGATGTTGCAATCCATAGCTGAATTTCTTAACAGCCTTGGGTGTTGACTGGGTGAGTCGGGTGTGCTGCATTGCTTGTCAGCACTTGTTAATATCTTTAATATAAACCGTGCTTCTAGGGATGATCTGGGGAAGGGTTGGTGTTTATTTTCTTTCTGTTTATTTTGCTCAGTTTGATTTTTTCCCCCTTTATTTTCCTTTGTAGGTTTTACTCAGTGGTGGTGTAGACTCAACGGTTTGTACAGCTTTGCTGAATCGTGCGTTGAACCAAGATCAAGTCATTGCTGTGCACATTGATAATGGCTTCATGAGGAAACGAGAAAGCCAGTCTGTGGAGGAAGCCCTCAAAAAGCTTGGGATTCAGGTCAAAGGTATTAATGGGCCAAAAAAAAAAAAAGAAAGTGAATTTACCTGTCGGGATTTGTTTAATGGGACCAAGCTTTGTGCTTAACGGAGCACATTGCCTTAACCAGTTGTAGTTTTCCCATAAGCTCGAAGTTGAAAATGTTTCGTATTTCTATAATTACCTCTGGTTCAGGAGTGTTCCCTGTATAAATTTTCAGAAGTGTTGATTTCTACTAGTTATGCTAAATGGGTAAGTTAACCATTTTGTAGCTGTCATTCTGTTCTCTAGTCATGCTCCCTCTTAAATTATATTTCCCCAAATGATTTGGTATTGTTATTCTTGCATGAGAATGCCCAAGCCCTCCTACAACAGGTACAAATACACAGATTATTTTGCAAACAGGAAGGCTGGTACAGAGAAGAAGGATTTAGGTGTGTAGTCATCCGGGCACTGTGATATGTACCTGTAGTGTGAGCTACTTAGGAGGCTGAGGTATGAGGATCACTTGAGCCCAGGAGTTTGGATACAGCTTGGGCAAACATAGGAAGACCTCATCTTAAAAAAAAAAAAAGGGGGGGGCGGGGTTGTGGCTCAGTGGTAGAGTGCTTGCCTAGCATGAGTGAAGCACTGGGTTCCATCCCCGGCACCACATACAAATAAAATAAAGGTATTGTGTCCATCTACAACTAAAAAGATATTTAAAAAAAAAAAAATCCACACTCTCATACTTTTAAACGGCAATCGTAACCACCAGTAGACTTCTAGTCCTTAGTGATATTGACATTTGTGGATATCATTTATACTCAAGGTATTATTGATGGTTACAGTGAAATGAGTTCAGTAGTTTAATAATACAAATTGTAAATATTGTTTAATTAATTAGAATTCAAGGCAAAAGGTTGAGTGTAAAATGAAGACTTGTAGGTAAGTATGAAGTAGACACAGTCTACTTAATAATTTTTCTTTTAAAAACTTTTCAAAAAAGGTTTTTCATAATTTTATCTTTTCGAAATTCACTAAAATAGCAGTGCACACATAAAGCAAGTTCAAGTGTTGCAAGATAAGGAACAGGTATAACAGTCAGGATTTGTTGGACTGTAGAAAACAGGCCTTGCTGGATTTCCTCAGCTAAGCGAAAGGGAGTTAAGCTTGAGAGGCCCTGACTAGTCAGCCCTCTTGCAAAATCCTGCGGAGAACCCCAGCAGCATCTTCACAAGACCATGTTTTTGTGAAATTGGCAAATATTTTAGTAATTTGTATTTGGTTGACTTTATTATCTCTGTCCATTCAAATTTATTCTCTGGTGGGTGGTACAGGCATGGCTGGCTATAGGCCTTTTGGGATCAGGCTAAGAAAACATTGAGCTGGAGATATATTTAGTTTGGATTTAGTGGTATATATATGATTTCTAATTATTTCTGTGTGTATCCAAGCTCTTGTTAGCCTTTCTAGTGTGACTTGTGATATTTAAGGTATCTTATTTATTATTCTCTTTCTTGAAGAGGGTCTTCAAATTGTAGAAGTTTTAATAACCCACACAAACGTGTCCTTGGTGGTTGGTGTAGTAGTATGAGGAATTCAGAGTCCTTGGGGAGGATATGGGGGAAAGCCTACAACAAAAGCAAGCAGGTCTGTGCTATTGTGCCACAGTCTGGCTGGGCACAAATCATGAGCCATTCAAGCAGGAACAAACTATTTCCGAACTCCAGCCACACAAGCGGCCCAGGACACACCACACACCAACCGGCACTTCCCCAACCAATGGGAACTCTCTAGGAATCCCTGAGAGAACTCCAAAGTAGCAGGCTGAGGTGGACAGCAGGGGTCTAATATACAATTGAATACACAGCTTAACATAATCATCATCATCTCAATGGCTTGCTGGCATCACCTCTCAACCACTCCTTTCTGGCAAAAATGCCATTCCAACTCAGCTATGGCTCTTATCACTATTGACTTTGGAGAGGCTCAGGAGTTGGAAGCCTTGGGCTTCTTTGGGACACAGGTCTCTGGATGAGCCTAAGTAGTAGTTCATTGAAAATATGAGAAGTACATCATTTTCCTGAATATAGGAGCAAAGTGTTGCTTTCCTTCCCTGTTGGAAGACTGGATTTTTTTCTCTGGCTTGGTGTACTGGGTATAGTACTATGAAGAGGTTTAAGTAAAAATATGTATGCTGAAGACTGATTGCCTCCTAGCACATCCCCTGTTCCATAGCTGGAAGGCTGGTAAACAGGAGTTTGGAGGTGTTTTGCTTGGGTAAGGGACCAACAAAAGGGAAAGACCCATAGATTCATTGGTGAGGCCTGTGTGGCCTGCTTCTGTTTTTACTCCTGCTATGGAGCTGTGCCCTCCCCCTTTATTCTCTTCTTTCTGGTACTGGGGATTGAACCCAGGGGTGCTCTACCACTGAGGTATATCCCCAGCCCTTTTTATTTTTTTATTTAGAGACAGGGTCTTGCTAAGTTGCCTCATCTGGCCTCCCAACTGGTAACCCTCCTGCCTCAGCTTCCTGAGCCAATGGGGTTACAGGTGGTCACTACTGTGCCTGGCTGGCTTGGTAGTTCTTTTTTAAAATATTTTTTTAGTTGTAGATGGGCACAATACCTTTATTTATTTTTATATGGTGCTGAGGATCGAACCCAGGGCCTCACACATTCAAGGGCACACGCTCTGCCATTGAGCCACAACTCCAGCCCCCGCTTGAAAGTTCTTGAACAAATAGGCAGGTTTAGGGGAGATCAGAGGAGCCACCTAGGTTTTCTGTTGTTTAACTTGTTACTTATAATTTTTAGTCTCTTGGTTAAAACACTTATCTCCTCTCCCTTAGTGATTAATGCTGCTCATTCCTTCTACAATGGAACAACTACTTTACCAATATCAGATGAAGACAGGACCCCTCGAAAAAGAATTAGCAAAACATTAAATATGACTACAAGTCCTGAGGAGAAAAGAAAAATCATTGGTGACACTTTTGTTAAGGTACCTTTCTTTTTTGTTACCCTGGGCTATTTTTTATGTGGATCTTGGTATTTGTTCTAGTTTTTTTGGTGTTTTGGTTTTTTGTCATTGTGTCGGATAAAAAAATTGCTAATTTTGGATGTCTGTTTCTGTGGCTGAGACTTTTACATATTGTTTTTACAAATTATTAGAAACTGTGATGTTTAAAAACATGTATGTTGCCAGGTTATTGTTTAAAATTTAAAAATAGATGTTTTCAGGTGATATTGGATTTTAATTTATTGGGTATCTCTAGCTAGATTTCAAGCTCCTGAAGTTCACATACTTTTTGAATGATGAAGCATATATTCTTAAAGGCTGGTGAATTTAATATCCTGGTTGGTATTGCAAAAGACTGAATCATTCAGCTTAAGTATAAAATGTTGCTGTCTTTTTAAGAAGATTCATCTCTAAGGCTGTTTCACTCTTGTTGGTTATAGATTGCCAATGAGGTAATTGGAGAGATGAATCTGAAGCCAGAGGAGGTTTTCCTTGCCCAAGGTACTTTACGACCTGATCTAATTGAAAGTGCATCCCTTGTTGCCAGTGGCAAAGCTGAGCTCATCAAAACCCATCACAATGACACAGAGCTCATCAGAAAGTTGAGAGAAGAGGTAAGGTTGAGAGGACTCTTGACTTACAGTGATGCCGGTACCTTCTCTGCCTCCTCCCCGTCCTTCTTCCCTCCCAAATCTCACAGGGTTGTACAACAATCATAACCACAATCTGATTTTAGAACATTTTTGCTACCCCCCAAAGAAACCTCATACTCAGCAGTTGACCTGAATTCTGCCTGAACCATTCCCCTGCCTCCTCTTGCCTGCTCTAGACAACCACAAATTTATTTTCTGTCTCTACAGTTTCGTCCCTTCCGGATGTTTTGTCTAATCAGATCATACAATATGCAATCTTCTGTGGTTGGCTTCTTTCACTTACATTATATTTTCATTATTTTTATTTTGAGAACTTTATTTTCATTGCTAATATTCATCATGTAGAATTGCATTTATTCATTCATCAGCTGGTGGACCTTTGGGTCATTTCTACCTTTTAGTGTTAAAGTGATGCTGTGTACAGATTTTGGTGAATGTATATTTTATTTTTTCTAGGGTGTGCCCAGGAGTATAATTGCTAGGTCATGTGGTAACTCTGTTCCGAGTTTTGATGAACCGCCAGGCTGCTATCCAATGGCTGTTCCATTTTACCTTCTCCCTGGCAGTGTGCGAGGGTCCCAGTTTCTCTATATCCTCACCAAGATTTGTTCTTAAATGTCTTTTTTTTGTGTGTGTGATAAAAATACATAAAATCTACCATCTTAACCATTTTCAAGTATACATTTCAGTAGAGTTAAGTACATTCATATTATTGTGAATCGGATCTGTGAAACTTCTTCGTCCTGCAGAACTGGCATAATGTTCTTAAGGTTTATCCAAGTGGGGCACAACAGCATCATCTTCCTCTTTGCATCTGGATAACACACATTGTGTGCAGGTGCTACATTCTGTTTATTTATTCATTGGTGGTTATCTGGGTTACTCCATCTGTCAAATAATATCAGTTAATGTGCCATATGAACACATACATGTAAATGCAGTTGTTTTGCACATATACCCAGAATTGGGATTACTGGATCATGATAGTCATATTTTTAACTTTATTGAGGGACCTCCATACTATTTTCCATAGCAGTTATCCCATTTTTCAGTCAAACTAATATTATGGAAGGTTCCCAGTTTCTCCACATAATCACCAACATTTTTTATTTTCTGTTCTTTTGGTGGTAGCCATGGGTGGTTGCTTTTGATTTTAGTTATCCCAGTGGGTGTGAATTGGTACCTAATTGTGATTTTGATTTGCATATCTCCAGTTGCTGATGATGTTAAATACTTTTTCATGGGTATATTGGTCGTTTATGTATCCTGAAGAAATGTCTGTTCATTTTTAGTTGACCTTTTTAAAGTTATTGATTTGTAAGTGTTCCTTATATATATCCCAGTTATGAGTCTTTAAATTAGATATATACTCCCATTTTGTGAGTTGATGTTTCATCTTATCATTTGGAGAATTTTGGGTGGGGAGGCCGTAATGGGGATTGAATTTGGGCACTCGGCCACTGAGCCACATCCCCAGCCCTGTTTTGTAATTTTTTTTAAACAGCTTGGTTATTACAATACATTGTCATCATTAGTAATTGAAGCAAGTTTTCTTTTACATTAGTTAAAAATAAGAAAAATAAAAATATCTGTGTTATCTTTCAAAAAAGAAAGAAAGAAAAGCATTTAAATTGAGCCCACTGACTTGCTGTGACACAATTTGATTTGTATTTTTAAAATGCAATAAGGGCTTCTGCCAATCAGGTTTTCTTCATTAGAAAATCAGGCCATAAATAAATGCACACCTGGACCTGGGTCCTGTGCAATTCCGTGTGGGTAGATCTGGGCTAGGCCTGGGCTCCTGTGGTAGTCTTGAGCCTGTGTTAAGGCTTGAACCTCCCACAGTTGTCTGCTGGTCGGAAGAGGCAGTCCTGTGTCAGAGGCTGGGCCCCGGTGGGTGTCTGCCCCACTGCTAGAGGGGATGAACCTAGGCCTGCTGTGAGCCTGAGTCCTGCAAAGGATGATGTGACCTCTATTTTGTGTTTTATTTAGCGACAGGGTCTCACTGAGTTGCTTAGCGCCTCGCTTTTGCTGAGGCTGGCTTTGAACTCAAGATCCTCCTGCCTCAGCCTCCGGAGCTGCTGGGATTATAAGTGTACACCACTGTGCCCAGCTTCATTTGGAGGATTTTAATATTGAAATATTGTGTGATATTTTCTATTTGCCTTGAGGGCAAGATGAGTGATGGTAGGTGTGTGATTTTTATTTTAAATATTTTAAGTTTTTAATGTATTTTAGAGAAAAGTACATATACCACTGAAATATTCATCTGATTCCTTGTATGCACATAGGAGGAAATACTTTAAGAAGTGAATGTTTTTGTTTTTGTGGTGCTAGGAATTGAACCCAGGTTCTTGCATATGCTGGACAGGTGCTCTACCTTTGAACTACATCACCAGTTGAAAAGATGTGTTTTTAAAGACAATGCTTTAAGCTAAGGAAAATGCCAACAGGAACACTATTTACTTATTTCCCATTGTTTTCTGTCTCATTTTGATTGCTAACTATGTTGACTGGCTTTTCCACCTTCCTTTAGGGAAAAGTAATAGAACCTCTGAAAGATTTTCATAAAGATGAAGTGAGAATTTTAGGCAGAGAACTTGGACTTCCTGAAGATTTAGTTTCCAGACATCCATTTCCAGGTAAAAAACAGAATTGATTTTATTTGATTTGTCTTTAGATTTTCATGATAAAGAAAAGTCAATTTTGAATAATTTATCATTTTGAGGGCTGGGGATGTGGCTCAAGCGGTAGCGCGCTTGCCTGGCATGCGTGTGGTGCGGCCCGGGTTCGATCCTCAGCACCACATACCAACAAAGATGTTGTGTCTGCCAACTAAAAAATAAATATTAAAAATTCTCTCTCTCTCTCTCTCTCCTCTCTCACTCTCTTTAAAAAAAAATAATAATTTATCATTTTGAGGAGTTTTTAATATGAGGAAGAAAAGGATTGAGAACAAATTCTGTTGCATATCTACTAAATTTATTGTATTAAATTCTCATTTTCTACTATATTTGTATTTAGATATTAAGTGATCCTTGGGAGTCCAGCATATTTTAATAACATTGCTACTCGATTCTTAATGGTTGAGGTAGGATTTATATGTTCTTCATACGATGTATCCTGATGTGTACTATAGAAGTGAAAATAAACTTGATTCTCATCATGTTTCCCAGGCTGGCAGCTAGGATGATAGGCATATGCCACTGTGGCTGGCTTGGTGCTCTTACATTATTATCCATGTCTGAATTGTCTGAATGGTTGGACTGCTTCATTCACCTGCAAAGCTCTTTGCACAATGCTCTGTGTAACTAATTCATGAATAATAACAAAATTCTAGATAGTCATTTGACTGTCATCACAAAAAAAAATTAGAGGTATTTGTTAGGACTGAGAATCTTAACCTATTTTGTTTTGAGCTTGGGCAAGTCTTGAAATCTCAGTTTTAGCTTTCTGTAGTCATGTGTAAGGTGGTAAGTTGGGAGAATGGTCTAATTAAAAACATAGTAATAGCTACTATTTCATGAGTACTTTTGATGTGCTGTGCACTCTGCTAAATACTTTAAACATTCTTATTTGATCCTCACAATAGAAAATAGTATTTATTACCTTGTTTTCCAGATGAGGATGAGGCTAATTTGCCCTAAGTTACACAAAATAGAAGGTTTAGTGTCAGGGTTATATCCTCAATAGTCTTTACATCAAAGTTTCTGTTCTTAATCACTGAACTGCCTCCACAAACAGTAGTTAAAGTGTCTAACCTATGTGGTGAATAGCACATTATCAAGCTTAACAATTTTACGTCTTTAGTCCCCAACTTGTAGGCTGGTGAAAGATGGTTGGTTAATGTTAGTGGAGGGTAGTCAAGTGGTCCTGTGTCCTTGGTTGTCATTTCATGTAGGATCATTTGATTTTCTCCAAATCTACTTTATATTTTGTGTTTTCTGTCCTATAAAATTTCTCTGGCAAAAGGATTTTGCTGCTTTAAAAACAACTTAAAATAAGCTGAGGAATGAGAGTAAGGATGATTGATAGTTAATTGCTATGGTTTCACCTACAACCAGATACCTTAAGTCATGTTTTTTTCTGTTGTAGAAAAGCAACAGAATCTAGTTTTTATGAGATCCATGTATACCTGTCTTTTTTTTTTTTTTTTAATCACCTGTATTTGGTATTTAGTAAAATAGAAAAAAGAGAAAGTATTTGGTAAACTAGAAATACTACTGGTTCACAACTCTTGGAATTAAACACTGTCATTATTTATTTTAAGGAGCATACTATTTTTCTTTAGTAGTTGAATTTGGATAATGAATATCATGTGGTTCTTTACACTATTCTCTTTAATTTTGTGTATGTTAGAGAATTCCTTTATCAAAAATTTTTGTGATTTGAAATTTATTTTCTGGAACTGGGTATTGAACCCAGGACCTTACAAATGCTAAGCATGGGCTCTTTTACTGATCTATACCTCCAATCCTGAAATTAAATTCTTTAAAAACTTTACTTGGGCCAGGGATATAGCTCAGTGGCAAAGCACTTGCCTATCATGTATGAGCATCTGCTTTTGATCCCCAACACTGAAAAACAAAACAAAAGTTTATGATTTTCATTTTTTTGTCATAGTTGGACATAATATCTTTATTTTATTATTTTTATGTGGTGCTGAGAATCGAACCCAGCGCCTCACGTGTGCTAGGTGAGCACTTTACCACTGAGCCACAACCCCAGCTCCCTTATGATTTTCATTTTATAAGAATTTTATATTTTTGGAATAATGGCATTTTAATTTTTTTGGTGTTTTTATATTAAATGTAAAAATTTATATTAAATACTATTGTTATTTCCTAGGTCCTGGCCTGGCAATCAGAGTGATATGTGCTGAAGAACCTTATATTTGTAAGGACTTTCCTGAAACCAACAATATTTTAAAAATAGTAGCTGATTTTTCTGCAAGTGTTAAGAAGGTAATAATTTGACATATCTATATGGTAAGGAAATGAATGTCATACTCTTGTATTTACAATTAAGTGGAGTTTCATTATTTGGAAATTGAGAGCAACAGGATATAAAATCAACATACATAATCAATAGTTTCCCTATACACCAATAACAAATCTGTTGAGAAAAAAACCAGGAAAACAGTCCCATTCACAATAGCCTCAACCCCCCCCCCCCCAAGTTAGGAATTAAAAAACAAAACACAACACCAAAGAGGTGAAAGATCTCTAGAATGAAAACTGTTAAAAGACTGATGAAATTAAAGAAGACACTGGAAAAATGACCAAGAGACTTCCCATGTCATGGATAAGTAGAATTAATGCTGCTGAAATGGCCATGTTACCAAAAGCTATATACAGTGCAGTTACTATCAAAATACCAAGGGCAGAATTCACAAAACGGGGGGAAAATAGTCCTAAAATTTATTTGGAAGAATAAAAGATGCAGGGATAGCCACAGTCATTCTAAGCCAAAAAAGCAATGCTGGAGGCATCACAATACCCAACTTCAAATTACTCTGCAGAGCAATAGTAACAAAAACTGCATGCTACTGGCATAAAAACAGACACGTAGACCAATGGTACAGAATAGAAGACACAGAGGAATTCATACATCTGTTCATCTGATCCTTGACAAAGGTGCCAAGAACATATATTGGATAAAACCCAGCCTTTAAAACAGAGGGTACTGGGGAAATTGGATATCCATGTGTAGAAGAATAAGACTAAATTCCTATTTAACCCTGCACAAAAGTCAACTCAAAATATATCAAAGACCTAGAGATTAGACAAGAAAGTTTGCAACTCTGGAAGAAAATGTAGAGTCAACATTTCAAAGTATGGTTGTAGGTAATGACTTCCTTAATAGGACTTGGACTGAGGAAATAATATCAGGAATTAGTGAGTCTGATGGCATTAAATTAGGAAGCTTATGCACAGCAAAAGAAACAAGAATGTGGGGCTGGAGTTGTGGCTTGGTGGTGGAGCACTTGCTTAGAACATGTGAGGCACTGGGTTTGATCCTCAGCACCACATTAAAAATAAATGAATAAAATAAAGGAATTGTGTTCATCTATAACTAAAAAAAAAAAAAAGTGAAGAGAGAACATAACCAAGTGGGAGAAAATTTTGCTAGCTACTCTTCTGGTAGAGTATTAATAATAATATTTAGAATATTCAAAGAATTTTAAAAAAATTAATACTAAGAAACAAGTCAGTCAATAAGTAGGCAAATGAAATTTTAATTAAACATTTTTCAACAGAAGAAATAGAAGTGACCAACTTACCTGAGAGTCAAAGGAATGCAAATCAAAGCTACAGCCAGAGCCAGGTGTAGGGGTATATGCCTGGAATCCCAGTAGCTCAGGAGTCTGAGACAGAAGAATGGCAAATTCAAAGTCAACCTCAGCAACTTAGTGAGACTCTGTCTCACAAAAGAAAAATGTGCTGGGTATGTTGCTTAGTAGTTAAGCATCCCTGGGTTCAATCTCTAGTAAAAGAAAACAAAACAAAACTACACTGAGATTTGATCTCACTCCAGTTAGAATGGCAGCTGTCAAGAATACAAAAAAACAGCTTGATATGGTAGCACGAGAGGATTGTGTGTCCCACGCCAGCCTCAGCTACTTAGCAAGACCTTATCTCAAAATGGAAAGGTCTAAGGATGAAGCTATGTGGTAATATGATACCCTCAGGTTTATTCCTGTCTCATCCATACCCAATACAATGATAAGTGCTGGAGAGCATGTGGAGAAAAGGAACATTTTACACTGTCAGGTGAGTCTGTAAATTCGTACAACCACTGTGGTTATCAGTATGGAAGTTCCTCTAAAGCCTAGCATGGAATGGCCTTGTGACCCAGCTTCCCACTTCTCCGTATTTATCTAAAACAATCCAAGTCATCACACTGAGGAATGTACACATTCCATGTTTATGGCAGCACAATTCCCAGTAGCCAGACTGTGGAACCAGCCTTGGTGTCTGTCAGTGGGTGAATAGCTAAAGAAATTGTGGTGTGTACACACATGGTTTTATTCAGCCATTCAAGAATAATATGGCATTTGCAGGAAAGTGGATGGAACTAGAGAGTATTATGTTAAGCAAAATATGCCATCCTCAGAAAATTAAGGGTGGTATGCTTTCTATCCTGTGTGGAAGCTGGAAAGGAAGGAAGGTCATGGAGCAGGAGCAGGGTAGGTTTTCATGAAACAGAAGGAAGAACAGCACAGAGGGAAAGGCCATTAGGGGAGCAAAAGGGGAATTACTGAGAACAGTCTTGACCAAATTATATTGTCATGTATGAATATATAAAGACGACTTTATTATGTCTATAATCATAAAAATGGGAAGAAAGAAAATTTAGAGTAATATAAGTCTTTGAAATGACTGAGAAAGTATTCTACAGAGACTTAGATGCAGATAAAATGATATTCTGAAACACTGAAGCATTTTAAAGTATTCTTTCATGTGTATTGGAAAAAAGTAAGGAAAATACTTTGAGTCAGGAATGAATTGGAAGCATCAGTTCAAGCAGCCAGAGCTGTTTCCTTCTCTGAAGGCAGCCAGTAATCCCTTGTGATCTAGGGCTTTGGCCATTTATGAATTGGCGTCTCAATGGGAGAACTGTTCCATGAAGGCTGGAAAATGAATCAGGTCTTCACACTGAGCAACACTTCAGCTCCAAATTGAGAGCGAGTGGAAGAGTCTCCTAGTCCTGCAATTTTAGGGTGTTAATTTATACCTCTGTTCTGAAAACTGCAAGATAAGAATTTTAATTTGAAGTGGACCTAGATTGGTAGTAATTTGAATTCTCCTTGAAATGATCTTCAGCTAGTCGCTGAAAAATCCCCATAGACAGAGATCCATACTTATGAGCTTATCAAAAAACTACCAAATACATATAGAAGTAAGGCATCATGAATAAGAGCAGAAATACTGGCAGAATAAATGATACCAAATTAGCAAACAGTGTATAAAATGAATAGAAATAAAAGAACCCATTGCTGATAAAAAGAGGGAATAAGAGGTTGGCTACTAAATATGGGCAGATTAAAAAGAAAAACAAAAACCCAAGTTCCAGGAGTGAAAATAATAACTGGGATTATAACAGAATTCATGAATTCAAAGGTTGATATTAGGAAGTTGCCCCAAAGTAGGATTAGTCCTCAAAAAGAAATATGGGTAGGAGAGAAGGAGATAGTAGACAAGAATTAATTAATTTTTCCAAGCTGATGGAAGGCAGTGTCTCAGATTCAGCATCATGACACATTTCAAGCAGAGGTGACACCCAGGAGGCGTGTCCTTGTGAAGTTATAGCTGCCAGGGAAGAAGCTGCAGAGAAGATGGACGGTTACAAAGGCAAGACCCCTTTACTGAAAGCCAGAGTGACAGCAAGACTTACTAACTGATATGCAGCTAAACTGCCTTGTAAGAAGAGAGCAAAGTAAAGTCATTTTCAGATAAGCAGAATTTGTTACTAATAGTCCCTTAGTTGAGGAGTTAAAAGCAATGTTTTCAACCCTGGCTTTATATTAGAATCATCTGGGGAGAACTTTTGCCGTATTCTTTGGCCAATCTCCCTATGATTTCTTATTTAATTGGTTTGGGATGAGACCTGAACATCCCATGTAATTTGCCTCTGCAGTGGTGGTTGGGAACAACTGATCTAAAGTAACTGAGTACAGGAGAAGCAGAGGGATGGATTCCAGTAGAAAGGTCTTAGATATGCAAAGGATTGGTAAGCAAAGAAATTGGAAAATGGGAAAGTTGAAACAAACATGGACTGTGTAAAAATAAAAATCTCTCTCCAAGTGTGTAACAATATTCAAAGCATCAAAAAATACTTGAATTATTTGCCAGGACTGAGATGATTCTCTTTTTCAATATACTGTTAACACTTGAGACAAAGTACTAAAATAGAGGAATTAACCTCAATTCATTTTGTTCCATTGTCCCAGATGTAGAACACATGTAGAAACGTAAATCAGGCAACAAATCTGCTACTTATGTCAACTGTGAAGTAATATTTGAATATTTATTATGTTTATAGAATTGAAAACTTGGGCCTCGGTGGGTTAAACCTAACCAGTAAGGGCTGTGAACCCTGCTGGATGCGAAGCTCAGGGTTTGATCTCCATTACCCACGCACACCAGCAGTGAATGGGAATCAGCCAAGAGGAATCCCCAGTTCAAAGGAGAGTGAAAAAAGGGAAAATAGACATAAAAATGGGACAAATGTGAACTGCAGGATAGATGCTTGAATGAATGATTAATCTCTACTAAGTTATGGGCAATAAATCTGAAAAGTATAGTGTTTATAAGATATTACTAATTTCTGGAGAGGAATGAAATTAAAAAGTAGAGAAAGACAAGCAAATAAAAGAATTGGACAGAGCTATACTTCAAAAAAAAATTGATCTTGTTGCAAAAGTTATTAGGGATAAGGTACAAGTTGGATTTAGGTGTTTCACTTGCTGGTGACTTGAGGGGTGTAAATTCTGTCTGTGTTTCGTACCTGAGGCTTCCCTCCTTCATGGCCCAGCTCTCAGGAATGAGTTTCTGGTGTAGTGTGTGGCATGTGCAGGTCAGGAGACACCCCGCATGGGCCCTGTTAGGAGCTGGTCAGTGTAGCTGCGTGAGGGACGGATGCCTTATTGATTGAAGCCTGAATCCGTGTCTGCTCTTCTCAGCCTCATACACTGTTACAAAGAGTCAAGGCCTGCACGACCGAGGAGGATCAGGAGAAGCTGATGCAGATTACAAGCCTGCATTCCCTGAGTGCCTTCTTGCTGCCCATTAAAACTGTGGGTGTGCAGGTGAGTTGTGCGAGTTCCCTGACTGGTAGAACTTTTCTGCCATTTGCTGCTTACACTAATCCTGGAGTAGGAATTGCTTAGGAAAATGAAATGTGAAAGTATTACACCAGGTTTAGAAACCACTGTTCTACTCTCAACTGTGATGTGAACTTTTTAAGTAAATGTTTATAAGGTTTATAACTTTTTATTTTTAAGTAAATGTTTAAGGTTTTTTTGGTCTACCATTTAAATTCTTAATCTACCTAATAAATGTTGGTAGATGTTGTCTTCTAGATTAAGCAAGCTGGCTCTCCATAATTGTGCAGGCATTTGGAATTAAATCCCAGTGGACCTCTGGCATATTTCAGTTAAATTCTTGAAATTACCATGGTGCTCTCTTTAAACTGGTGGAATTTAATATGGGATTTATTCACATCATTGTTTTTCCTTTTTCTTTTTTTTTTGGTGGTTCTGGGGATTGAACCCAGGGCCTAGTGCATGCAAGGCAAGCACTTTTTTTTAACCAACTGAGCTATATATATTCCCAGCCCCCAGATTTCTTCAAAGAACCATCTTTAAAGAACCATCTAGAATGTACTTTTATTTGTAAATATGTTCTTAAAAAACAAAACCAAAAAATGCTGTTAGTGTCAGTATACATAAAACATTTTCTGGCTTACTTTTTGGCTTTATAAAGCTACTAGAAATGATGGATTACATTTCTCTTTTCAGGGTGACTGTCGGTCCTACAGTTATGTTTGTGGAATCTCCAGTAAAGATGAACCTGACTGGGAATCGCTCATCTTCCTTGCCCGGCTCATTCCTCGGATGTGTCACAACATAAACAGGTATCTTCTGCAGGAGGTGGGGTTGGGGGAAGCACGGAGATGTACGAGGAAGGACAGTGTTTTAAGGTCTTCTTATTAGATGAAAGACCAAAAGGTTCAAGTGTAGATAAAGAAAAGCTAGTGACTCTGTTTATATTTCAGTTATATGCTTTGGTTAGGGTTAAGTAGATATTGAGTATTATCTCGTGTTTTAATCATCCCAATGTAATCATCTATTTATTTTTAATATTTTTCTTTAGTTGTAGTTGGATACAATGCCTTTATTTATTTTCTAAGTGGTGCTGAGGATCGAACTCAGCGCCTCACATATGCTAGGCAAGCCCTCTACTGCTGAGCCCTAGCCCCAGCCCTCATTTATTGTTATTTAAAGTAGAAATAGGAAGAACTTTAATTTTAGTATAAAATATTAAAGGTAGTTTTAAAGCATGTTGTTTTAGTCAGCTTTGCATCACTGTGACCAAAACACCTGAAAAGAACAATGTAGAGGAGGAAAAGTTTATTTTGGCTCATGGTTCAGTCCATGGTCAATGCCCTGGGCTCAAGGTGAGGCAGAACATCATGGTGGACAAGGGTGGAGGAGGAGAGCAGCTCAGGACATGACACTAGGCAAGAGTTCTGCTCATGGACATAACTGCCAGCGGCACACCCTGCAGTGACCTGCCTGCTCCAGTTACCCCCACCTGCTTAACAGCTACTGCCCAGTCCATTCCTATCAGTGGGTTAACTGCTGAGTATCGAGGCTTGCATACCCAGTGAGTGCTTCATCTCCAAACATTGTCATATTGTCTCACACATGAGCTTCTGGGGGACACCTTATGTGTGGACCACAACATGGGTCTCCATATTAGTGGTATGAACTCAGTTTCATGGTAACATGCTGTTTTCCAGGGAGATTGCAAAAAAGTTTGTTGGGTTCTAGAATTACATACCAGATTGGAAAGTTAAAAGAAATAGGCTTGTGGCAGATATCATTAAATAGTAACATTGAAGTGTATGATTGGCAGTTTTCAGATCTTTTTTTCCTTTCATTTTACATCAATGTCTTAAATTAGAAATACCAACAGATGGTTTATAGACTATTCCCGATACTCCTACAGTTTAAAATTGTCACTTGTTTAGTGCTGGATTGTTAATTAAATGTTTTTATTTCACAGTTGTTAGCACTTTGCAATTTTTTATGTGTATTAGGCAGTTAACAACCCAAAATAATCACTTGGGGTTTCATTTTCCTCAAGTTTGCTATAGAAATGAGAAAACTCCCCGTTAGCATTAACTTAGCTGAGTCTGCATAGTTATGAGGAGTTATAGGGAAAGTTGTTTGGGACATTATAATTTATCTTCTGAAGCATGCTAATAGTCTCTATAAACTTTGTATGTCAGAACATTTTATTTTTTGGGACGGGCTGGGGATTGAACTCGGGGACACTTGATCAATGAGCCATATCCTCAGCCCTATTTTGTATTCTTTTTAGATACAGGGTCTCACTGAGTCGCTTTGTGCCTCACTTTTGTTGAGGCTGGCTTTGAACTCTCGATCTGCCTGCCTCAGCCTACCAATTACAGGTGTGCGCCACTGCACCTGGGGAACATATTTCTAAGTGTCTTCTGATTGCTTTTAATAAGTAGCATGTTTTTTATTTATGTCTTGTGATTTTTTTTTTATCTACACATGACATTACAATGATCTTGGCAATTCATATCATTGGGGTATAATTTCTCATTTTTCTAATTGTATAGATTACAGAATCACACTGGTCATAGAGTCACCTATATACATATATCAATCATAATGTCTATTCTATTCTGCTGCCCTTCCTATCCCCCCTGTTCCTCCCCTCCTCTCCCATCATTTCTTTCTATCCCATCTAATGTGACACACTTTTTTTTCCTTTTTATCATCACAACATCATATATGTATTCTGAATAACAATGAGGTTCTCCTTCCATCTTCCTTGCAGTTCCCCTTCTCCCTGTTTTTCCCTCCCACCTCTCTTCCCTATTTAGTGGTAGTCTTCTTCTCATGCTTGTGTTCTTTGCTAATGCACATTCACTTTTACTTATAAGCTTTAGCCTTTCAGGTGCTACTTTTTCCCTTATCTATTTCTTCCTTTCTTGACCTTTCTTCCCTCACCCCTCAGAAAAAGAAAAAAGGTCAGCAAGTTAACAACTAGATCTTAAAACATGAACCCAGCAAGCCCTTGAGTCTCAGTGGGTTTACATGTTTTGCCAAGTTCCTTTTTGGAAATTGGAATTTTAAAATATTTTTCTGTTTTCATGATGTTTTTTTCCTAATTTGGAAAGGGAACCTTTGCCCATGGAGGGACTGTTCCAGTTTTACTCATCTGCACAGTGTGGGTATCTATTTTCATGTCCGCTGTTGCAGCCTCTCCTGTAGGAAAGTAGAAGATGAAAAGTGCAGGTTTGAGGCTCTCAACCAGTTCCCTTCTCCTTTGTGATGGTTTACGGGCTTTAGGAGTGACAGTGTTTACATGAGGTATGGCTTACTTTCTAGGGACAAAACCTTCTTCTACAGTGTGTTTGGAGGGAGTCAGTGAAGTAGTTGGGTAGCGGTAGTTTTCATCTAAAGTTTTCTTTTGTATATTTTGCTGCATGTGGTTATTAAGCAAAGACATTATTAAACTTTTGTTTTCTTTGCTAATGGTAGACTGGCCTGAGGACCAGCGGCAGTTATCTGCTGGCTGTGGTTGGCATAGGGAAAACTGGGTGCACTCAGATCTCTGCCTGATTCCCTCTTGTTTTTCTGGTAAAGATTGTGACTTGGCAAGGCACACTTTGGGCTGTTACAATTTTCTGGTCCCGGTTTCTTCAAGTTATGCTCCAAACCCTTATTAACACTTGCAGCGTCTTCATGTCTTTCAAACAGATATTTCCTTAAAGTGTCAGTAAGATACTCTTCTGGGAAAATTGTAGCAGGATACTAAGTACTATTTGAGTGACATTTTTAATAGTGTGGAAATAAAAATCTAGGAGCACTTCTTCTCATTATGGGGTTAAAAAACGTGGGCTAACTAGGTTGAAGAAATTGGTCTTACCTTCGAGCTTTTCCAATGCATGTTAGCATGTTACAATTTCTGAAGTCTTACCATAAAGAACTTATGCTAGGTTTCTGTTCACTCGACTAAAAGGCTCAGGGGTCACTCCAGTTAAATTGGGCTAATTGGGCTGCGCAAAATAACCACACAAGAGACACAAATACCTTTTTCTTTGAGGTCGCTGTGACGGCTCCTCTGACCTTAAGGGTCTGTAGGAAGAGAGAGAGAGAGAGAGCGAGAGCCCACGCTGACCCCTTTTATTGAGGAGAAGGTATTCAAATGAGGCAAGGGGGTCAGGTTCCAGGGGGCTGAGTCCACTGTCAGCAGGTTGACTGACATCTGGGTAGGCCACACCCAAGAGTACAGTAAGAGAAGGGGATACACACACAAGGCACTTTCATGGAAGATTCTATCTAAACAGGGCAAGGGGTTATATTATAACAGGTCAGCATAGCTTCACTCATGAGGCTGTAGCAAGAGACACCCATGCACGAGACATCGACCCTCAAACCCAAGAAGGGTGGGGAAAGCTCTGCCACATTTCTGTGACTGAGCGCCTCAGCAGCCAGTTGGGGGGTGTGACTCAGTCACGTGTGAGGTTGGTCTCCCACAAACCTATTTATTTGTTAACTATGTGTATTGATTTCCTGATGCTACCTGTAATAAATACCACAGACTGGGTGGGCTTAACCTAGCAGATACCTATCCTTTTAGAGGCCAGAAGTCTGAAATAAGGGTGCTGGCTGGACCATGTTCTCTGTGTTGATTCCAGAGAAAGATCCGCTCTTGCCTCTTCCAAGCATCTATGGTGGTCCTGGATGTGGTGGTGTCCTGCTGGTCCTCAGCTTGTGGCAGTCCAGTCCAGTGTCTTTCTCCATATTCCTGTGGCACACTTTAGTCTGTGTGTGTCTGTTTCCACACTGCTTGTTCTTGGGTGGGGAGGTGGCTCACTGGTAAAATGCTCTCCTACCATGGGGAAGGCCCTGAGTTTGATCCCTAGCATTGTAGCAAAACAACAACCCCCCCCCAAAAAAACAACACAAATCCAAATTTCCCTGTTCTTATAGGACACTGGTCATTGGATTAGGGCCCACTGAAGTCTAATATGACTTCGTCTTGATGACATCTGCACACCTGTTTTTACCCACAGGTTCTGACTGGTCATGAATTTGGGGGGACATTCTAACCAGTACATTATGTGAAAAGGTTGTAGTGGTCACATAAACCTATGCACATGGAGTGCTGGTATCCAGGCTGCACACTGGGAGGGAGGTGTATTTGAAGATCCACTCACAATCCCCACGCCTGTCCTGGTCCTGGCTGTTGGGAGCTGAAGCCAGTCGGAGGTCATAGGCAAGTGGAAAAGTGGTGGACTGTGCCTCCCTTCTCCTACTGAACTCTGATCGTGAACTTCCCCTTTCCTTCTAGAGTTGTCTACATCTTTGGCCCACCAGTTAAGGAACCTCCTACCGACGTGACGCCCACTTTCTTAACAACAGGGGTGCTCAGCACTTTGCGTCA